GAAGGCTCCCTCCAGATTTCGTTGTCCTGTGTTTCTCGAGTGGTAACAGAATTGCCTCCTTTCTGGAGCATATAATAGAGGATTGGGTTAGTTTTGGTCAGTCTTGGAGAATCTTTTTCATACTCATTCTTGTCCACATCTGTGATGACCCACTTAACGGGTCCCTTCTCACTGGGCATAGGCATGGAACACCCATTCAAAAGTCCAGGTTCCGGTCTGGACCCCACACAGCCCAAGTGCTCCTGGAAAGGAGGGCTCAGAGGAGTCTTTACCACTCCAGGGTATGAAAATGTCCTATTATCCACACAGCTGCTGGGCTGAGGGGAACTGTACATCAGCCCATTTAAAGAGGAAATGCTAAATTCAGATTTGCTATTGGTCACATTGTTTTTGTGTCCTTTCTTTTTGCTGTCGATGACAGAGTTACTCCTCTGTGGGGACAAATCTCGCACACAGTTTTCTGAGAGAAGCAGCTGTTTCAGAACATTGAAGCTTTTGTTTTCCCTGGCCCAACTCCTATGTTCACTATCACTGGTAGAACTATGACCAGTGGGATACTTATAGTCAAGATCACCTCGGCTAAATTTCAGCTCTTCCTGATTAAGCAAGGACCCATAGAGCACTTCCGGGGCACTGTGATTATTTGCAGCATCGACAGAGCTATTTTTCATTTCCTTAAATGGATTTTCCAGCGGCTCAGTATAAAGCTTCCTTTTCTTAGGGACCATGCAAAGGTTTTTTGATTCCAGGGGAGTCAGCTCACTATTTCTGTGACTCTTGTCTGGATCATCTGCTGGGTAACTCTCTTGATTCTGTCTCAGTAATCGACTTAACAGACCATTCTTTGAGAAGGAAAAATCCTGAGGTGAAGGGGGCTCTGATTTAAAGTCCTCAGACACTGGTAAGGCAGTTGTGCTCTTCTGCATGGTGGGAGCCATCCCTAAGAATGGGGCACCCTTAGCATCATGGCTCAAATGCACGTTTGTGTTAGGAATTTGGAAGTCATCACACGGCTCAGATTTTATTTTCACCATCAGTATCTGCTCACTTAAAGCTCTCTCTGAATGTTCTTGAGTGCTTTCATCTCTCAAAGGGATCTTCTCTTTCTTTTCACTCTTCCCTTTGTTGGAATTTCCCAGGAGCAATTGGAGGACAGTATGTCTCTCCAGCAGATTTTCTATTTCAGAACCAGGAAGTCCTGGTTCCGGTCCTGCCGGCTGAGTGCTGAATGTTTTGTTTTCTTCAACTGCTTGTGTTTTACTTGAGAGCAGAGGGCTATTTAATCTATCAATCATACCAAGGGGTTTATCTGTGTTTCCACTCAGCAGCTGTTTGCTGGGTCTTTGCTCCTCTACTGGCACGGAAGACTGCATTCCACACTGCGCCAAATTCTGTAACAGTTTACTGGCACTGAATGTTGCAGAATTCTGTGTTCCTTCATTTGGGGCCGCTTTCTCTGTTTGTGATTCTTTGCTTTTTGTGAAGTCCATCAAGTGGTTAGACCCGACATTTGTTAGCGTTGCGGCTGGAGTACTACAGGCATATGGTGGGGAATTCCACTTGATTACCAGAGAGTGTTGAGAAAGATTGATGGGGGACTCTGCTTTGGTTGATGCATGCAGTGGAGGAGTGCTCACCGGGGTAGTCCTGTTGGTACTGGGGCTTTCAATTACAGAAGTCCTTGTGTAATTCTGCGGACTGAACTTTTTAACATCACTGTGGACTTCCTGAGGGCTGGCATTCTTTTCTACACTTTCTTCATTCTTATGGCCAAGTAGCAACTGAAGAAGAGTTACTTTCTGATGTGAATTCAGCTTAGAATTCTGTGAGGTATCTTGATCTTCTTTGATGTCCAGATCTGGGACTTTGGGATCCCACGTGTTTAACAAGGACTGAGTTAGGTTATCGAGAGAAACTGGCTGGTCAGCTTCAGGTTTTTCGATCCGATGTTTGCAAGACAAGTCTATGGGAACACAGTTGGAATAGGAGCTTTCGTCACCACTGCTGTCATCTGTAAAGCTGGGGTTGTTATCCGAATACTCATCAACAGTGGTAGGTGTACTACTGTCCTCAAAACTACTTCCTCTCTCATTCTGGCTGTGTCCATTCATTGTCTTGGGGATGGTTTGGCTTTTGAGGAGATGTAAAAGCAAACTGTTATTAGCAGCTTGCTTTATACTGTTTCTTTCCAGTGAGTTTTTGTAGCCCGAATTCTTAGGGGAAGAAGGGACAACAGCCATTGGGTTCTGAAATGTGGAAGCATTACTCCTGCTAGCCACCAGTTTGCTGGATGATGATGTTCTGGCCTGTCCATTGAGATGGCTGGACATTCCTTTTGAGAGCTGGAAATTGCCTGCATCTTTCTGGCCATTTTCCTGCAGTCTGGCCATGGCAGCAAGTCTTTCACTTGCTGCTTGATTTGCATTCTGTGTTTTTAAAGCATGTTCCCGAGAATACTGCTGCAGATGGGCTTCGCTGGAAAGGAGTAATGCCAACTGGCTACAGGCAACACTGGGTTTGGGGGAGGTGGCAGGGCTAGCCCTTTTTTCTACCATGCTTGCAACGGCCTGCAATCTTGCAGCACACGACAAAGGTTCGCTCATGACCTTTGTTCCACTTTGTCCAACATGGTGAGGGGACTCTACAAACCTCTCTCTGATGAGGTTTTTAGTTACATCAGGAAGATTGGGATCAGACTTCTGATCTTTAGCTTTACTTTTCTTCAACAAAGTTTTTAAGTGACTTGAGGCCACACCATAGCACCTTAAATCCTTCTCTACTTTTAAAGAATCATGACTGAGGGCATATCCTTGCTCCTTCAGGCTCTGCCTAATTTGCTGTGACAGAGCAACAGTCTGCAGCCTAGAGCTGAATGACTGAAGCAAAGAGGCCAGTAATGTGCTATCCTGCTTGCCTTTAGGCACACTGTCAACCATGCCAGCTAGCAAAGCTTCCTTCTTTACGTTTAGATTCACGATGGAATCGGACAGCCTCTTCCGCTTTGCTGCATTCCAGTCCTCAGAAGACTGCAACAGTCTGGCTTTTTTGAGATGCAGCATGCCAGATCCCTGGTACGAATGTGTATTGAGAACTGGACCATTACTTTGACAGGTGGGAAATGCACTGCCAGAAATGTTAAAGTTCTGGTCTTCTTCATTGTGGCCAGCAGACTTTTTGTCAACGGCAGTACCTGATCCCCCAGCTGCCTGATGCATTAGTAATCCTTCTAGGTAAGTTAAAACAATAGAATCCTGATGCACATCAGAGCCAAGCTCTTCTCCATGAGTCATGTTCAATAGAAGTGTTCACAGGGGCTGGGTTTCTATTCACTTTAAAGAATGGTTTTCTGTTGGTGGGTGATATGCAACTTTAAGAAGTGTCAGTTTATCACCATCCATAGCAATCAGAGAGGGATGCACTGTGACATTCTGACCAGGATTTTTCTTCTGGCAATGACAAGAGAAAAGGCAGGCAAACTTCAATGCAGACCACAGAGCTGGTCACCAAGTGAGAAGCAGCAGCAGAATCTCTCCCTTAATACTTCAGTATTTAGTGGCAAGGGGACACAGTGGATGGACTGCTTTGCTGCTCATCAACTGCACATGTCCGTATTCTGAAAAGTATAAACAAAAATAATTAAGTATGTGTAGAACTAGACTCATGTGTATTACCTACAAGGATAGAATACAGCATTATGCATTTATACATACAAATTATACTTATATACTATGCGCACATGAACATTATAGTCATAGCAGTCATCTGAAAAGCTTTTTGTAGGTAGCCCTAAAACCATTTCATTGAAACTGAAGGATGAAATAAGGTCATTGGAACATCTGGACGATTATATTATTCATACTCACTGTTGTTATCCATAAGTTGCCAAGTATTATTTAATGTTCTAAAAAAGTGTATCCATTTCTGGTATATTGTCAAAGGAATAGAATTTGCAAAGGGGCTGTAATGTTGTACATTAGTGTTCATTTACCTGTCTATTTACACCCTACCTTACCAGAAAAAACTAGATGACAGATTATTAGTATTTATTTCTGACACAAACTCCTTCATGAAGCTGCTTCTATCTGGGGCTTATGCTAATTACAAATTGTGCATACAACACATTTGATATAAAACTGAATACAATAATTTTAAAAAAGAAAATTGTAATATATTCAACCATATGCATACCCGCTATCAGCCTCTGAATTATGGACAAATGTGAACCTTAAAAAGTGGAATCATCTGCTGGGTGTAGTGGTGCATGCCTTTAATCCCAGCAGAGGGAGGAGGATCTCTGTGAGTTCCAGGCTAGCTGGGGGTACAGGGAGACCCTGTCTCAAAAAGACAAAAAAAAAAGTGGAATCAGCAATTTGAAACCATACACTGTAACTTCATCAGTGTTACTCAAAGGAATAATAAGGCAAAGTGCATTTCAAGTATTCAGGTTTTTTTTTCATTATATCAATACCACAAAACTCTTGAACTCCCAATCTGTGCCTTGATCTGTTTGAGGACTGGTGAAAGACATGTAAAAAAAGATGTGGAGCTGGAGAGATGGCTCAGTGGTTAAGAACACTGGTTGTTCTTGCAGAAGACCCGGGTTCGAATCCTAACACCCACATGGCAGCTAACAACTGTCCATAACTCCAGGCCCAAGAATCTGACAGCCTCTTTTGACCTCTGCGGGCATTGCACGACACGGGTGCACTTACCTATATGTAGGCAATACATGCATACTCAGAAAATAAAAAAAAAATAATAATAAATAAAATAAAATTTTAAAAAAGATGTGATAAAGAGCACTAGGACTAGGCAAGGCAAGGTGACCCTGCACCCACACTTCTAGAATATTCTCAGTATAAAGTTCTCTTCTCTCTACCCCTATTATTTCTTTGTACATGACTAATGAATACAAAAAAGTTTAAAAGGTAATAAATTATGATTCCAAGAAGCTCTTATTGCTGTAAAAAATTTAAGTGAAAAAAGTCTTTTGTTTTTTTTCTGTCCAGAATGTCAAAGACAGCTGGTCTAGGAAGATGTTTCAGATAGGCGAATCAGAACATGAATTCAAAGAGACTCGTCGCACTGGGAACAAGAGTGCAATGCTACTGACTGGTGTGTACCACAGCCGGATCAATGTTCCAGGTGTCTTAATTCTCTAGATGGTTTTCTCAAGAACGAGTGAGAAAACAATGCAGCTCTAAAGACAAGAAAGATCGCATTTTCGTCTGATTAGTTACCTAGTAGAAAGACTTCACCCCTCAGTGCTCTTAACATTTATTGAGGCAAGGAGCTCTACCGCCTCTTTCCACTTTCCACTTGGAGTGTATGAGTGCATCCTTTTATCTTTCACTACACCAAGCAACCAAATTCATGTGAAACTCTTCATTAAATGGAAAAATACTGAAGACAGGAAAGAGATGATATTGGAGATGACATCATTTATTGGATTGGTTACTACAGTTCATCTAAAAATGCAAAATATTTACCAATTATGAAACAAGGAAAATTTCTGCCCTCTATTCAGCTGTTGAAAATTTTCAGGACAGAAAAGAAAAAACCATTGAATTCTGAGTTGTGCTCACTAAAAGCTTAAAAGAAAATGACAACGGTAGTGACACTACAGACCGCATAACAGACAGAGCTTGTTTCAGGATTGTTATCTTGCTAGGAATTTTAATTTTCCTTTTGTCTTTTTAAGCACTGTGAATTGGTGGTTAATTTTGCCACCTTGGTTAGGTGGAGAAATACCCAGATTAGTGAAGCACAGCCCTGGGTGTATCTGCGAGAGCTACATTTCCAGAGAGGATTAACTAAGAGGGCAGACCCACCTTGGATATGGGCAGTACCATCCCATAATCTAGGAGTCCCTATGGAATAAAGTGGGGGAAGGGAGGAAGTACAGCAAGCCTTTCTCTCTGCTTCCTGTTCATCATGATGGGTGCTACTCTCCATTATGATGGACTAAAAAAGCCTCTGATACTCTACGATTACACAGACCAAAATAGGTCTTTCTTTTCTTAAATTGTTTTGCTGTGGTATTTTATCACAGTGACAAAAAGTCTAATACAATTCCCGAAAAAAAAAAAAAAAAAAAAAAAAAAAAAAAAAAAAAAAAAAAAATCACTAAAATTCCATAATGTACCTTCAGTTTATAAATGGTTCCAAATGTATACATGTGGTGATGGTAGGATACAATGTTATGTTCTATTACAAGCACACTCATGAGGTGACTATGTACCACTTGCATACACAAGACCGTGGGTTTGATCCTTAGCAACACACACACACACACACACACACACACACCACTGTTAACTTTATAAAAGAATATAAATATTCTTTTAAACAATTCTTGAAAACTAAAACTGGGTCCAAAGAACCCTGACAGCCCTTTAGGCATTAATGTATTTCATGGACATTTGATGTAATTCATGTCCAACTACTTAACATTATTCCAAAGTAAATCCTGGTTTTTAAAAAAATTTTTATTATTTTTATTTTATGTGTATGAGTGTATTGCCTGCATGTATGTGAGTGCACCCATGTCGTGCAATGCTGCAGAGGTCAGAAGAGGGCTTCAGAGTCCCCTGGAACTGGAGTTAATCCTGGTTTTTTAATGTTTACAATCATAAAAATGCCTTTTAGGGTTTATGAAAGAAAATCTACTGGTCCAATAGCATGTACTAGAAAGAAAGGGCGGTTACTATGAGACAGCATTCTCAAAAAAAAAAGAAAGAACTCCACGGAATCTTGACCATATGCATGGATAGATTCTGGGAAAGATCCAAGTTTCAACAGGTACAAGTGTTTCAATGAAATGTTTAGCAAAATGCTTGAATTGCAAGAGTATATTTTCAAAAGCCATATTCTTTAGTATTTAAACAAGTACCTGAAAAGTATTGTTAGGTTGAAGTGTGGCTTTTTAAAAAGAAACTATCAATAAAAGAGAATTGTAAGGAGTTTGTATGTCGAAAGTTCACAAATAGACACCATATTGACTCTTTGAAGTAGTTAAATTATCCCCACGGCAAAGTGTTTCACAGTCTCCATTTAGAAACTGTTTCTTAAGCAAAAGGAAACCTACTGAACGTTTACACACTTTAAAACAGTAAAATCTTCTGGCTACACCATAGGAATGTATTAATCCATCTTGCTAATATTTTATTGTATAGATTTGATAGTAAACTTAACATTACTGCAAAAACAAAACAAAAATAAATAAACAAATAAAAAAAACCCCAGCAAAATCCAAGTACTAAGATTTAAGTTAGATAATTGAATTCTTATATGTGGATTCCTTTTGCTTGAAAATAAATAATAAAGACCACTCTCCAGCTGCTTTTAGATTCAATATCTTATTTGCAATCAAATTCTCTATTACAAACACATTTAAATGATTAAATATCTATGATGTCACTTGGCATACTATTTAAATGAAGTCCAAGGAATATATCTTATGACTTCCAATGGTTTCCATAAAATTTTTCCACGAAGTTCTTTATTGTCAAGTAATAACTATATAAATACTAAATTTCAAGACATTTCGGTGACAAAGATTAATGAACATTAGGATCCTTGGTTCTAGTTGCTAAAAGATATAGAATTCAAGGCTTATATAAATGTGTCATTCAATGATAACTTCTATTGGACATTATCTACTGTGAATTCCACTGGGTGTCCCTTCAGAGGTACTTTTATGTTTATTTGAGACAGGGTCTCACTATGTAGCACCTGCTGGCCTGGAACTCACTATGAAAACCAGCTGGCTTTGACATCATAACATACCTCTCTGCTTCTACCTCCACAGCGCTGGGTCTAAAGGCAAGAGCCAGCACACCTGGCCTCAGAGGTGCTTTTTATATAAAAGTTAAGAAAGATATTACAGTGCTTCATCAAGCATTAGCAGAAAAAGACTTAAGTACTAGGAAAATTCCAACTTACTGAACTCTTTATCTAAACAACTCAAATCCAGGTATGTAACTTAGAGAACTCTTGCTGGCCACTACTATGGGGCTAAGTAAGTTTTAAAAATCAACATAAGGCTGGGTGTGGTACACACCTTTAAACCCAGCATTCTGGAGGTAGAGGCAAGCAGATCTCTGTGAGATCCAGGGTAACCTGGCCTCCATCTGCGTTCCAGGTCACCTAGTGCTGCACAGTGAGACCTTATGGCAAAAAAAAAAGGCAACATGAAACTAAACCCATAAATGTCTTTTTAAGCTAAAAATCAATGAAAAGTTACAATACAGAAAAAGAAAGAACACTTAAGTTCATAGAACAAGAAAGGAGAAAACATTTAAGAAACACATCCTAAAGCTTCATTAAAAAGTAAAGACAACAATGATTCCTGTACTATGCAAAATAATCATGAGAAAGATACTGGGAGGGAGGGGGAATCTTTCAAGAAGAGTAAAATAAACATTCGCATACCTCTACTTCATAGCAGGGGACAACAATGGAATACTAGAAGAATAAGCCTGGATCTCAGCAGACCACCAGAGATGCCAAGTTCTGGCCTCCCTCTGGCAGAGGGCTTGAGAACGCAGCGGACTGCCTGAGAGCCCCTGGATTCTGCCTCCACAAGGTGGTGAGCTACCCCTAATTGTGCCA